GTGTGTGTAAAGATGACCCAGTTCAGGGTTTACATTTTGGAATGACCTCGATATCAGACTTCTCAGGGAGGTAGGCAGCTAAGGCACTTCAGCTGGGACCAAGAAAGAAAATCATTCAAAAAATACTTAGACTCTATGGAGTATTCTGTGATTATCAGGCAATGAACTGGGCTCTAATGTTATAGAGACCACATCTCTATCTGTAAAGAGCTCAGAGCCTGGTGGGCACAAAGGAGATAAGAATCTCACCCCCACCAGTGAAGAGATATGTGAAAATTAAACCAAGATATTTGACTCTCAGACTTGTAAATTGCAGTGTTCTTTCCATTAGAACAATCAATGCCTTTCAAACGTTGACAAGACTCACAGTAAAGAATACATTCTGTAGCACTACCCAGTACGGATACACACATTTCTGATCTTTTCTATTTAACTGCATTTTATTTTACTATTTTAAAATGTTCATCTTGACACATAAATTGGTTTATGACTCAAAGGTGGAAAAATACTGCTATAGAATATTTTTTAAAATTTCTCTAGAATTTCAAGGTCAGATATAATTCCTAAATTTTCTTCTCACACAATACATTTGTACCCCAGTAAAAAAAAATAATAAACTACCAAATAATCAAATAACCCCAAAGACTAACAGAGCTATGACAGCTGTCATTTGGGGAGTGGCGGGAAGCTAAACCTGACCTCCATCAGCTCTCCAAAGCCACCCAAGTAAATACCCGATCTAAGGGAAACGGCATCTGCTAAACAAAAAGTTTGGTGGCAAGTTCCCTGGCACCTCAGCTCTCTTTCAACTAGACTTTGTGTTTCTACTTACAATGAATATTTTTAAAATAATTTTGTGTAAAAGACTTTAATGTGTTTGGATGGGGAACAATGAACTTACTAATATAAGTGAATGAGAATAAAAATAAACTATTTTAAATAAATACATTTCATTTTTTAAAATCTCTCTCTGAAATTAGCCACTGTTCCCTTAAATTGGGGGGAAGGGAGTGTACTGATTTATCCTAGACCTGAATAAAAGCATACAGAAGTGGATCATTAATTAAGCTAGTACCTCTTTTGGTATGCCCCTGAAACATTAGAGCAAAGGAAGTGTGTGACTTCTCCTCAGCGTAAGATGTTTCTACAGCACTTCCTACTAACGATAATGTGGTACCAGCTGTCATCATGACCTAGTTGCAAGCCAGAAACTGAACAAACCCCAAAGAACATGAGTTCTTTCAAGAAGTGTGTCCCCAACAAGACCTAAAGTCAGAAACCAGTGGAAAGACCAGAAAACTCCTTTCCATTTTCTGTGTCCACAGGCCGTACTCCAGCTCCGAGAACACAAATTAAGTGTAAGAATGTTCATTCAAGTTCGTGGGCTTACTAGCCTCACTGTTCCCCATCCAGGAAGCATGTCTAAGTTTAATGGACTCATTTTTGTGACATTTGCCTCAAATTAAAAGACAATTTTATAAAAGTTGAATAAATCTTCCTTTTTTCCCTAAAAGAAATGTTTAGAACAGTGTTTAGAAAAATATTCTTTTTATAAATATAAAATGCGTTTTTCCTAAGAAAAAGGAGAAAGCTATACCTATTATTTATCAGCTCTGTGCAATAGAACTTTCTGTGATGATGGAAGTGTTTCATCTACATCTGCACTATCCAAAACAGTAGCCACTAGACACCTAATATGGAGCACTTGAAATGTGGTTGGTGTGACTGAGAAACCGATTTTTTAATTTTTTCATATTAATTAGTTTAAATTTAAGTAGCTACATAGGCTAGAAACCACCATGTGCAGCAGTGAAGGGTAGATAATCAACATAAGGCCTCAGCAGCAGAGCTGTGTAATTGACTTGTCTTGTGTAATTGACAGAATGCTGTTATTTTGAAAAAATGATATTCTATACCAATATTCACCTTTCGGTTTCCTAATATTTAATTAATTAACATTTAAGGTTTCCCCAGAAATGGTTTTTCAACAATTGGCGATTTCTATTCTAAAACATGAACAGACTTGATCTGCTGAGCAGAATTCCTTTGACAATGTTCAGTTTTCCATCTGTGAAACTTAAGCATAGAGAAGGGGGAAAAAATGTGAGCCCATCCTCCTCTTAATACAAAGGGAAGAAATGAAATACATAAATCCATATAAGGTTAATATAACCTCCTAGATGCTTTTATGGGTACATCTACTCATCAACCCCAGCTTATGTTTGTTTCTTTAGACCCAGTTGCGGCTTTTAACAAAAGTCATTCCTACATTTGTTTGAGCTCTTTACTGTGTTTTGTTATGATCGGACCATGACGACCCTCTAAAAGTATTCTGCCTATAGGAAAACCATAAAAAATAAACACACTAAAATATTCTATCCTTAAATGAGATGAATTGATCATATGGTAAAAATGCAGTAGCCTAAAAAGAGCAGATGCTTCAGAGGGACTAAAATATGCAGATCACGCCAAGACCACTTTCCAAGCAGGTGGCAAAAGAAATGGTACAGTTCTATAGTCAACAAGGAAGAGACGCCCCAAGAAAATGTGCTTAAAAATACATTGTGGCCTTGCTGTGGCTGCAGGATAACAAATTTCAAGCAGCACTTAAATTGTTCTCCTTAGAATCTCAAGGTGAATGCTAAATTAATTTTGTCAGCTTCTCACCTTATATGTAAATATACTCTCCCCCACACACACAGGTACCAACATTTCAGTAATTTCATCATGTTTAAGTAGAATGAACATCTAGAACTTGTATCTAAAAAATACTATGAGCTCATTTAAAACAAGCAAACTGAAGTATATTGAACAAAAAACAAAGCTACCAGTACCACATAGGATATTTAGGAAAACTCAAACTGTACAAGGCAAAGCAATTCTAAAACAGGAGTGTAATTCAGGTAAGAATTCAGCACCATAGACGAGAATTTCTTTTTTTTCTCTACCATCACTACTGCTACCACGAAGTCCTAAAAAAGGACTAGAAGCTCACTCACTTACTATATTCAAAAAGCACTGGGATATCAACAAGATACATCAACAAGAGAGCAATGTGTACACTACCCAGGGCCTTCAGATCTCGAAGAACAATAAATGGCATTGCCAGAAGGAGAAGACTTCGTCTGAGAGCTCTCTGACCTAGCGAGTCTGTCAGACTCCATAAAAACTAGATGTTGTCAATCTTTTTCTCTGGTTGTACAGAAAAAATCTGCAGATATAGCCTGGGCAAGAAAGAGGGAGACAGAGAATTTAAAAGAGGGAACTATCATGCTGTTTGACCCTGAGAGTTCTCTCCTCGCTCTTCCAAGCTATGAACTACAAACTCCACTGACTGCTGCATCTAGAGTATGATCTCTAAGGAGCCTATCAGTTACAAAATTCTCAGATGAAAGCCTCAATGTCTATGAGGAGTGATGGAAACCTCAATGCTTTTTTCATCATCCTAATTCTTAGGGGGAAAAAAGTCAAATAAGTATACAATATAGAATTTTCATAACAGGGACACAAGTTCTCAAAGCACATAGGGCTTCAAAACAGAAAATAAACACTACTTCTCATTTAGTTCTCTAAAAGTCTGCTTCAGAATAGTACTACTCCTATTTCTCAAAATGCAATTTAAACTCAGAAATAAAAATGTACTTAAAAGATAAAGTAGTTTCACATGGACAAAACTCAATGGTCATATTTAATATTCTAATACAGATTTATGAGATAAAATAGATTCTAGTAAGCAAAAGAAATGTACACACCAGAAGAGAAAGCATTTTTTGCTTGGCTTAAAATGTTAACAGCACAATACTACATTAAAAGAAAAAAAAAAAGTATTATGTTAGCACAAATAGGGTTCAGTCCTTTTTCTAAATTACCAATGTTTGTGGACCAAATATCTTACTTACGTAAGCCCTCAAGCCCTGTATAACCCACTCCTATTCTTCTAGGAGAGCTTTTGCAGACCAGTTCTATTAGATGTCGATCACGTTAAAAACATTTTTTAAGGAATTTATCAATAAATGTAATTATACTAATGAAATTATCATCCTTCTTAAGTGGGATTCTAGAGAAAAACTCAATGGAACTGTTTTCTAGTTATTTTTTCTAGTCAAAGCATAAAAGCATCATCAACCCAAAGTGAAAGATATAATTAATCATGGCTCCTGATTTAAGCATAACATTACAAATGTGTTCCTATGCATTAAACAAAAGTGTTCTCACTCTTACCTGTATATCCAGCATACCATCCCCAGGAAGCCACGATTCCTAAAAGCCATTTATACATGATTCCTTCAATATACCAGAAGCTCTTACTGTCCAGCAAACGAAGGGGCTGAAGTATAATTACATAGCAGATGTAGGATGGAATTGCAACCAGGTTGCTGGCGACCATCACGGCAAATCTCATCAGGGCTTTCACTAAGGTCCAGCCCAGCCACGGAGCTTCTTCCAAAGTCACAGCCATTCTCACATTGGAGTCCGTCCGGTCTTTCTAAGGTAAAAGGAAAATTCATTTAAAAAGGAAAATGGATTAAACACATCTAAATAATCACCAACATAGAAATCATCTCCAGCATAAAAATAAAAAGAAAATCGAGGCTCTAAGCCTTCCCAGTGTAGTACCTCGGTCATCTCGCCGGGAAATTCCAGAGGGGGACAGAGAGCGAGGGAGGAGGAGCCGCACAAGGTCAAGGGAGCTGTTCACAGAGGCACAGGGTATGTCATAATATATTTAGCAAATGATAATGCTATTCCCACTAACTAATCGGTGGCCGTCCCCGCAGCGCGTCTCACTGCAGTCTTCTGTTGGACTTTAAGGAAGAAAAACAGACCCACTTGCTTTAGACACCATCGGTTTCTCCAAATCGACGACACGAGGGACAAGAAGACTGAAACATGGACCTCTGAGTCAGATTTCCCAGATACCGGGAACCTGGTACCCTGTCCACCACCATTCCTGCACGTTGATTCATTCCTTCCTAAGGTCTCTCGCATTAGCAAAACGAGGAGTTACACTTAAAATGTTCATTTGAGGCAAAGGGGGTTTTTGTTTTCCCTTATTTAAGAAAAAAAAGAGAGAGAGAGAGTGGCCTAGAAAAAGGGCAGGAAGGTGAGAGGAAGAGAGTGGGGGCAAAAGGGAGGAAGAACAGGAGTAGGGGGAGGGGAGCAAAAGCCCGAAGGAGGTGAAGGCAAAGGGGCCGGGGATGGAGGGAATAAAGTCTTCGACCAGAGGCCCGGGGAGCGGGGCATGATGGAAGAAGCGAGGAAGCGAGGCGACGACAGCGCTCAGGGGGCGGGTGGAGCCCGCAGCGGTTTCCGCGGGTGTGGACCGGGT